GGTACAGTGGCTGCAGTGATTAGATAAACTGTCAGAGATGATAAGGATGAAACAACAGGACAAGGTTCAAGTCTGCTGTTCAAAGGGTCACACTGACTCATACTTGACTCAATGGTACCTAACAACATCATCATCATCTCTCTCTATGGCAGAACAAGGCCCTGGATCTGATACCAGAGTTCAATTTATTACAAATTCTCCTGAAGGTCTCTAGACTAACCTGACTTCATACCTTTCTCTTTACTAATTTTTTTAAAATTTTATTTTATTAATTTTAATGAACATTTACAGAGATTTTGGATTTCCACTCATTCATTGTTGCACTTTTTTCTCTATCTCCCCCACCCCCTCCCCACCCAGGTCACTCCTCTCTTCAAAAAGCAAAAGATAAACTCCCATGGTGCAACCACTGTGGAAGGCAGTATGGTGCTTTCTCAAAAAGGTGCAAATAGAGACACCATTTGACCCAGCAATTCTACTACTGGGAATATATCCCAAAGAGACCATAACTGACATCCAAGCAGATATATGCATACCCATATTTATCGCAGCTTCATTCACAATAGCAAGGAGTTGGAAACAACCCAAGTGCCCATCAACAAACGAATGGATAGAGAAGATGTGGTATATTCACACAATGGAATACTATGCTGCATTGAAAAACAAGGAACTCATGCAATATTATTAAAAATGGGTGAGCCTGGAGGACATTATGCTGAGTGAAATATCGCAATCACAAAAGGACAAGTACTACATGGTGCCACTGCTGTAAAATGGGACTAATATCAGGGTTGGGGTAAACTGGATAAATTGTGTATACTGCAATGAAACAGATGAGGGAGAGAATAATTTAAAAGCAATGTATGATAGGGTATTATGGTTATCACAAGAATCCACAATTAATGTCGCACAGTGGAGTGTACTTGGGGTGGTGAGAGGGGTGCCGGGGATTGCGTACCAGGGAGAGAGTTTTTCTTTTACTTTTCAAAGAGAGGAGTGAACTTGGGGGGGGGGCGGAGAGGGCTGGG